ACATGAACTCAAGGGAGGTCTTTTTTTCTTTTGTTTTTTGAGACAGGGTCTCACTATGTAGCTCAGGCTGGTCTCGAACTCACAGTGATCCTCCTGCCTCAGCCTCCCAAGTGCTGGGATTATAGGCGTGTACCACCACGCCCGGCAAGTATAACTGTAATGTCTAAAATGACCCTCAGAGTCCTGGGAAAGTATTAGTTAGTATCCATGATCTCAAAAATAGACCAGAGCCGGGGTTTTAGCTCAGTGGTTCCGCCGCCTGCCTTGCGAGTGCAAGGACCGAAGAGCTTAAGTTCAATCCCCAGTACCAAAACAAAACAAAACAAAAAAAACCCTTAAAAAAAAAATCAAAAGCAGACCAGAGATGGGCATGGCAGAATATGCCTATTTTCCTAGCACTCAGGAGTCTGAGGCAGGAGGATCACCGAGAATTCAAGGCCAACCCGAGGTACAAAGCAATACTGACCCAAAACTAACTAAATAAAAAAGCAGACCAGTCCATTCAAATATAATCTGACCAGAATGTGCGCAGGGAGGGCTTGTGTCACTACACAGACAACATGGTGAATTAACCTAATATCGTGGTGGTGAAATTATGTGAAACCTAGAGAAACAAGAATCCAGTAAGATCACTGAATTCTCAATATTACCATCTTTTTCAACTTTGTGAAGATCCTAGCAGAGAGGAGGAAACAGAGTACCCAGCAAACACACCCTGAAAGCTGAAAGGATGCCCCCCCGAAGTTTACTTTTATAGACTTGAATCAATAGCACCTGTACCCACACTAAACGGAAAGCCCAGAGTTGTTTCTGCGGCTCTAAAACTGTCTGCCACCCTGGCCAGATTCTGCATATGCAGAATCCACTCAAACTTCCCCGTGTCTTCACTAGTGTGGGAACTCTCCCAAATACCCCTCTGGCGGGAGGCACTCTACATAATTTTGGGAAAAAATCATTTCATAATTAAATTGTGACTAGGGCTGTCTGAGGCCTACTCTTCCTGCTTTCGGCCAGCTATGGCATTCGGAAACAATTCCTGTTTTGCCTCCGGTCACAGCTGTGACCTCCATGGAGTCCCCTGATGCTGTGGGGCTCAAGAGCAAGATTACATCAGCTGAAGACGTCCTGGGTCTTTGAGAACTGAGCAGTAATAAAGACAAGGAGAAAGGATTCGTCTGGGGAGGGACAGATCAAGCTTACCTCGTCCCACCTACTGCTGTAAGAACGTTTTGCTCATCTCACCTCCTTATCAACACAGACTCAGCTACCTAAGATCCTCCTCACCTACACCTGATACTCCCTCCGATCCCCCCCCTCATTATTGTATGAACCCAATAAATAGTGGTAAGCTCGGAGCTGTTTATCTTTGCCCACTCTAAGGTACTGACCCCCTGGCCCTGCATATATTTTGAAATTACAAAAGTCTCTATTGTCTTTCTTTAGCCCTCGCTGTTATCCCCGTTTCTAGGCTGTCAGAGGATTGATCATCCTCCAAAAGCCCTCTGCCTATTTCAGTTCTACCACCCCCATGAGCTACCATCTACATCTTGCACAAGACTCATTAACAGCCCTTTCCTGACTGCACATGTGACCCAACCTTCCGGTCCCTAATTCAGTAGGTAGCATCTGTGAAGGCTTTTTTTGCGGGGGTTTCCGGGGCTGGAACTCAGGTCCTTGCACCTGCTACGCAGATGGGAGCACCACTGAGCTAAATAAATCCCCAATCCTGTGAAGACTTCTAATTGATTTGTCCTTGTTTGCTTTTAGAAACTGTTAACAGTATCTGCATCAACCTTGGGGCTCGCTCTACAGGCAGGCTCAGGAGACGTCAGTTTCAGAGTATGGCAGAAATGGCCAGTTCTTTCCCATTCATCATTTTAGTTGTTGATACTGTTTGCAACACTCTCCGTTCCTACTGTCTATCAAGTTTTTATTGGGCACATGGTCATCCAGTGAAGACTGGGAGTGTTCAGGCTCCCTTATAGCTTGGTACAGCCATGTTTGGGCCAACAGGATATGGCTAGCTTACTTGTTTATTTTCGTTTTTTTGACATAGGGTCTCGCTATATAGTTCAGGCTAGTCTTGAACTCACTAGGTAGCCCAGGTAGGTCTCAAACTCATGGTGATCCTCTTGCCTCAGCTTCCTGAGTAATGGGATTACAGGTGTGCGCCACCACGCCTAGAGAAATGAGGATAGCACTCCATGTGTGGGCCAAGGACCCCCAACATCAGGATAGCTTGGGAACTGGTTAAAAACACAGAATCTGAAGCCCCTTGTCAGACCCCTGGATCAAAATTCCCACCTTATTGAGAAGCACAGGTGATAGAATAGGGTGCCTTCCAGTCTTGGACCACTTACCTCTGAAATGTTCAGTAAGAGAGTCTCTTTCTTAGAGCTACTTTTACACCCTAACTAGAAGTCATCTCTAAGAAATAACGCTCCCCAACTTTAGAATTCAAGGCTGAAACACAGGCCACTTGTACTTACTTAGCAAAGCAAGGATTCCTCCAAGAATCCCAAGAATGGCAGGAACCTGTAATCCGGCTTCTGCGTAATTGGCCCTCATACAGTTGTTGACAGCCCCCTCGCAGTCACACACGATGACATCCAAAGTGGTCACTTGGTCTTTGTTTTGTTTATCAATGAGCTTGAGATGGATTTTGTAGTCACCCACCTCTAAGGTTTTCTTTGGCCTCAAGATGAGAGACTCTTGGGCTAAGGAAAGCAAAACAAAAGATGAAACCAGGAAAGTGGGAAAGAAAACTCATCCTAGACTAAAACTGTGAAGGAACTAAATACATTCCAACGCTGAGAGAAACAAGAGCCGGCGTAGGGTTTAGACTGGTGGGCAGTACGTCATACAGCTAAACACCAGGAAAGGAAAGGGACCTTTCGCGCAACTGCGTCAAATACAAAAGGTACAAGGAACAAATGCCAAAGGGCAAGAGGTGGCACCTGGAGTTGGAAGGACAATTTAGACGTGAGATGAGGAGGAGAAGCACAGCAGGCAGAGCTGAGATTCTGAAATAAAGCTGAAGTCTCACCGGCGTCATTGTACCCGATGGTCCAGTTGACACTCGCCCCGTGTGTGAGTTCTGCTGTGAAGGGGGAAGTGTTGGGGGGCAGATCTGGATCGATGATGTCTATGATGTGAGGCTGTGGATCCCTCTGGCAGAAGTGCATGTTTCGGGGTTCCGGTATGGGGGCGTTGTCATTCACATCAGAGAGGATCAAGAGGAGGGTTCCCGTGCCGGTGGCAATTGGAGAACCTATGGGAAAACGCAGAGCAAATGCCACAGCTCAGGAACGTTATGACTCCTCCGCGACTCCCAGCAGACCTGACTCCGTCCTGGCTCATCAGTGAACGCTCACACACCCCATCCTCATGCTTTTAACTCCTGACTGCAGCAAGCACTCAAGACACGATTATCATCAATAGTAGTGTGTGACAGGGAGGCAACAATAGCGACAGACAGGCCAGGGATTTAACTCAGTGGTTCTGCTGCCTTCCTCTCAGGGTCCCTTCGATCCCTAGTACCAAAAACAAACACACAAACAAACACCCTCCCCCCCAACCAGATAAGACTTCTTAAATCTGTAAATACTTATGTCAGAATGGCAAAGCTGTCTCTTTTTAAAACTTTTTAAATCATGTGGCTTTTTAAACAAATGAGCATGTCATTTAAAATTAACTTCACACACACACACACACACACACACACAACTATTTTTTACAATGAGCTAACAGATTTTCTGAAGCAATTTCACTCTTAGACCTTTTATGAAAAGGCATGCACGGGCTGGGGGTGTGACTTTGTGGTAGAGTTCTTGCCTAGCATTTGCCTAGCACATACAAGGCCCTCTGTTTAATCTTCTGCACCAGAAAGGGGCGGGGGAGTAATTCCACCTATAGTCCCAGCACTCGGTAATCTGAGGCAGGAGGATCAACATGAGTTCAAGGCCAGCATGGACTACACAATGAGGTCAAGGCCAGTCTGAACTATGTAACAAGACCCGGCCTCTTTTTTCAAAAAAAAAAAAAAAAAAAAAAGATAAAGGGGGAATAAAAAAGTAATTCTACTTCCAAACATCTATTCAGGAAAATATTTGTGAAAAGAGGTGTGTGCTTGCCAGTCATGGAAATACATGAATGATTAAATTATGCGGTAGCCAAACAACATCAGAATTAAAGAGACAGGTTGATAATATGCAAAGGCAATCTGTATGACTTGGGAGGGGTACTGCTCTGGGAATCAAACCCATGCCTCACGCTAGGCATGGTGGCGCACGCCTGTAATCTCAGCACTTGGGAGGCTGAGGCAGGAGGATCTCTGTGAGTTCAAGACCAGCCTGGGCTACATGGTGAGTTCCAGGTCAGTCTCAACTACATAGTGAGACCCTGTCTCAAAAGAACAAAGCAAACAAACCCAGACCTCATACATGTGCTCCACCACTGAGCTATAAACCCATCTCCAATCTCTGTCTTAAAGAAAGACATGCTGTCAAATAAAATACTTTTCTTTTTGGTCAGACATGGTGGTGCACACCTATAATTCCAGTACAGAGGGAAGACGAGGCAAAAGGTTCACAAGTGCAAGTCCTGCCAGGGCAATTTAGGAAGGCTGGGTTTCAAATTACAAAATAAAAGGAGGTGTGTATGTAGTAGTTCAGGGGTAGAGCCCAGAGGAGGTTTGATCCATAGTACTGGAGGAATCTTTAAAATTTTATTTTTACAGTGATAGGAATCAAACCCACTATATCGTACATGCTAGGCAAACACTATCACGAAGTGATATACCCAGCCCCCAAACTAAGTTTAAAATGATGCATTATACATAACGTTGTTAATAAAACCAAATAAAAATTCTACAAACTAAGATAATAAACTAGATTTTTAAAAATTTTATTTGTTGGTACGTATTTGCAGTATGCAGTAATTATATTCATCTTGGGGACTTGGTACATGTACACAACACATCTTAATTTCTTTTTAACTCCCCCTTTCCCTCCATCTCTTGGTCCTCTTCCCATTTGCAAAAGATCTGTCTTCCTATTTTCCTGCAAATGACTGAGTTTATCTTTATAGCTGATTAGTACTCCAGTGTATAAATAGCACCTTTTCTTTATCCATTAATCTGTTGATGAGCATGTTTCTATAGCTACCTAAATGTATTCAAATATATAGAAAGGCTGGAAGGATTCAGCCTTCATGATGAAAGGGACAGCCCTATACTGCACATGGTGGATACTATTCTAGGTACATTTGTATAAATTAATTCATTTAATCCAGTTTGCATTATCATTTTATCAGATAAAGTACTTGATGGACATTAAAAATCAAGTAACAAGCCCAGGGTCCCTTGGGCCTGGGACACAAAAACAGGCTCCTGTGGGGAAAGAGTCGGGCTCGGGTACAGAAAACGACAAGTGAAAAGGAACTTCCACTTGACCCAGATTATTCTGGGTGCTGAGATTTTGGATACTGAGAATGCCTTTGTCTAAGCACTTCAAAAAAAAAAAAAAAAAAAAAAGTCTGAACACTCAGGTCTCCAATAGGGCAGGGGCAAGGCATCAAGCTGGGCAGGAGGCTGAGGCAGCCCAGGCCACACAGGTGTCCCTACCATTGTCAGTGGCGATGATGAGAGCTGTGTACGTGCTGTTCTTCACATGCTCAGAGGCCTCTCTGTCCAGCTCAGCCCGAGTGGAAATGGCACCAGTCTCCGGATCAATCTCCAACCAGTTGGCAGTGTCCCTCCAAATCCGATACCTGAAAAGGAACAAATTCTGGCTTAGGATGGGAACAGCAAGCAGTGCTGAGCTAAAGAAGGCTGAGGTTTCTGGTCCTTTACACAGTTACTTCCTGGGTTTTGTTTGTTTGCTTTTTAGGGTATTGCAGATTGAACCCAGGGCACTTCACACACACGCTGGGCAAGTGCTGTACCGCTGAGCTACACACCCCATCCTTTTTCAAATATTTATTTTGAGACAGGGTTTGCCATGTTGGTCAGGCAGCCTCAAACCTACCACCCTTCTGCCCCAGCCTCCAGTGGGATTATAGCCGTGCACCACCACACCTACACTTGATGTTTCAATTTGTTGTTTTTGTTGAGACGGGATCTCATTATGTGGTCCAGGTTGGCCTTTAACTTGAGATCCTCCTATGTCAGTCTTCTAAGTGCTGGAATTATAGGCAGGTGCCACCGTGCTTGGCGCCGTGACCTTAGTTTGAAATTTATCAACCCTACACAAAAGTGGCCAGAATAGTATAATAACCATACACACATGTTTTCTTCACCTAGATTCACCCTTTTTTGTTTTCTGGGGTGCTGTGGATTGAACCTATAGCTCTGTGTATGCTAGGCATGTGTTCAAACCACTGAGCTACATCCCTATTGATTTACCCATTGTTAATATTTTCCCACATTTACTCTCTCAACCTGTATGTTAACACACACACACATAGAAGTAATTCAAAGTCCCCTCTTAGAAGAGAATAGCACAGTACCCAGATTGATCTCCAATGACCTAACATTTGGTTGGCTTGTCTCTAGTTTCCATTAATTTGGTTGGAACCATTTCCTTGGTTTTTCTTTTGTTTCTTGGCCCTGATATTTTGGAAATGTGTAAGCAAGTTGTTTTATAGAATGGCCCTCGGATGGGATTCTGTCTGATTGTTCCCTCACAATTAGACCCAGGTTCTTCTTCTTCTTCTTTTTTTTGGTAATATTAACTTTCACCATTTGGATAAGAAAAGAACACAACAGTAAAGGCATCTTCTCACCTTAGTAAAGGCACCTTTTCCCCTTTGTAATTAATCTATACTCTGTCAGGAGATAATCTGTGAGTATCCTGTTTACCCACTAACTTTCCCTTTCCCTCCCTTCCCTTCCTTCCTTCTTTCTTTCCTTCCCTGACAGGGTCTTGCTGTGTATTCTAGGCTGACCTCAAACTCGTGACACTAGCCCTACCTCTGGCCATTAACATCTGAATGCACTGATGTGGAGATGGGTTGCACTATTGGCATCTAATGGTCTTCTAGACTTAACAGCAAAAAACTTTATTTGAAATGGCAGAGAATTCTGTTAAGCCATACCTTATGAGGATTACTAGAAACAGTTAATCAGAGGAAGAGAAGGCATGAAAATTAGAAACATAGTGCCCTTAAGGCATACAATTAGAACATACTGCCCATTTACCTATTAGGGTTGTGGTAAGGCTCAGAAAGGGACACAAAGAAATTCAAGGAGGAAAGAGCTTCTCACTTCCTTAGAAGTGCAAAGCAATGAATTGCACATGGTGGTTTTTTCCAGGGAGGAGGGTCTCTACAAACACTATTAAGGCCTGGTACTTGAACTTCCCTGAAAAATGCTTTAACCTTCCCACTTCACTACTGCAAGCTAAATTATCAACCCAGCCTGGACACCATCCAACCCAATGTTTCATCGCTGAACATCATTATATATTGTCTTTGGCTTTTCACCATCCTTTCACTACAACTTTTATTACAAATACATTTTACCAGAGAGAAAACTTTTTTTTTAACCAGCCCTTACATTTTGGACCACCTAGACTTTTCCCACAGATCAGGGCAGTATAATGACTACCTGTCCAAATTTAGGGTATTTCAAAGCAAAATGCTGCAGTTGATTGGTGTGTTTTCAACATTTTTGGCTAGAAATAACATTGTAAAGGTGCCTTCAAGTCTAAAAAGAAACAGCACTTATGTAAATTGAAATACATTCCTATATCTGGGCATAGTAGGGGATATCTATAGCCTCAGCTACTCAGGAGGCTGAGAGGCAGGAGGATAACATAAACCCAGGTGTTTGTGGTCAGCCTGAACAACAAAGTGAGTCCCCATCTCAAACAACAAACCCCAAATCACATCCCAACTACAATGCAAGAACTCAAAGAGAGAAATTACATTAAATCTGGAATGGTCAACAATGGAAGGAAGGGAAGATGTGGGGGACATAGATGAAATATTAAACAGGGAGGAGGGAGGAGAAGGAGGGCAGGGGGAGGGGAAGGGGGGAGAGAGAGGGAAGGAGGGAGGCAGCATTGCAGAACCCAATAATGGTGTAACGCCATGAATTCAAGGCAGTCATGGGTTTTATACCAATATTCGGTCAACAAAGTGTAATCATGACAGTGGCTCCATAAGATTATGGTGCTCAGTGGTGGTGTAGCCATCTTAGCTAGCATTACAAGCCCTATGATGTTCCCATAGCGATAAAATTTGCCAAGGACACATTTCTCAGAATGCATCCTTGCCACTGACACATAACTGTCATGACAGACAGATTATAAATACATAGCAATACCCAGGTGCTGCAAGTCAGGCAAGAAACCCTAACACTTACGTAATCTTTTGTTGCATGAATGTGTCTGGCTCCCGAGCTGTGTAGGAAGTGATTTCCAAGCCCACCCCAAAGTCCTCTGGTATTTCTACTCTTTTTTCAGGGGGCACAAAGATGGGGGCTTCATTGATGTCCAGCACATCCACAGTGACAGTGGCTGTGGAGGTCTGGAGAATCACTTCAAAGGGGACCACATTTGTTGCTGTCACATGTAGAATATATTGCTTCTTGGCCTCAAAATCCAAGCCCTAGAGCGCAGAAAAAAATAATGTTAAAAAACAAAACACAACACAAGGGGCTCTAATGGTAGGGCATTTGCCTAACATGGGGAGGGTGCAGAATTTGATCCCCAGCACCATAACAAAAAAATTTAAATCCTGGGGCCAGGGATTTAGCTCAATGGTTCCACTGCATGCCTTGCAAGCACAAGGTTCCTGAGTTCGATCCCCAGTACCAAAAAAAAAAAAAAAAAAAAAAAATTAAATCCTTAACTATTGGCTTTGGCTGGTAACATACTAGTAGCGGTCCTCAAATATGTCTGTTCACTTACTTGCTAAAGAGGAAGTCAAAGCTCTGGAGCCATGCTAGCCACCCATTAACTCAGAGTAACTTCAATGATTCACCCAACATCTTAGTTTCCAAGTTTGTAGGACATTTTTCAAAAAAGTTACACTTGCATCCCTTCTAAAATAGTCCAGCAAAAGAGCCAAGCCCAGTAAACCATGTTTCCTCTCATTTGAAAAATGGGAAGGCAAAATGTGCCCAAGAGCCCAAATGGTACTTCCGGTTCAGTTTTAAGAGCGTCACTCACTACACACCCCAGGAGGCGAGTCCTCACTGGGAAAGCCGCCCCTCCTGCAGCCCACCAGTACTAATTTACCCTCTGAGAAGAAGCCAGTGACAGGAATGGACAGCTGCTGGGGTGTCATGTTTTACATCTTGCTGGGCGTATACAAACCTTAGCTGTTTTCAAAATGCCGTTGTTGGTTATGGGGTCTGTGGTGACAATAAATTGCTTGTCGGGATCATTTAGTATGGTGTACACAGCCTGCCATCCTGGGGTATTGGGGGCATCATCATCAGTCACTGTGAGCGTAGTGATGACAGCATCGGCCTCATTCTCAGGAACCTGACCCTCGTACTGCAGAACAAAGTAAAAGACGGGTCACTAAGGATATCCTGAGCCTGAGAGCAGAGGCAGGTCTCAGAGGCTAAAGGAATCCAGTCTGAGCCCAGGTCTGGAGGAGATGTGGCCAGGAGAGCTCAGGGGACAGGCACCAGTCTTGGCTGAAGTTCCCGCTGTAGGAGCAGGGCCTTATTTTCTGTCAGTGGGGCTCCTAGCACTTAGCGCATCTTCCTCCACAAGTAACTGAAACAGCTTCCCAAGGCCATGACTATCCCGGCTGCTCAGCCCATGAGGCCCGGTTTCTGACTGTGATTCTTAGCCAAGTGCAAAGCCCCAAGGTTTAATCATCATTTACTCCCAGCCCTCATCTCCTCTCTATCAATGATCTTCATAAAAATAAATCTGGTCATTATAGCCTTCTGTTTAAAACTCTTCAACAAGGGCTGGGGATTTAGCTCAGTGTTTCCAAAGTGCAAGGTTCCAAGTTTGATCCCCAGTATCAAAAACCAAAACCAAACCAAACAAAAAACACCAAACCAAAACAAAACAAAACACTTCAGTGTCCCTTGTGCTTTGAACAAATTCTGAAATTCTTACCCCTAGCCTAGAAGGTCCTTCAGGACCTGACTTATTTTGTTCACTACACTTAGCTAAGTGACCATTTTTCAGTTCCTCATATGCTTTGAGCTGCTTCTTTATTCAGGGCCACACACTGCTGAGAATCCAGTTCGGCTGCCCGATTCCCACCTTTGCCTGACCTTACCATTCAGTACTTCGCTAATGAACAACAAAGGACCCCCTTCTTTGGAAAGCTTCTGAGGGGCTGCAGAATTACCGTGGTTGGGTTGAAGATGGGAGGATTATCATTGACGTCAGTCACTGTGATCACGGCTTTTGCTGTTGTGCTCAAGCCTTCACCTTGAAGGTCAGCAGCCTGAACCTCCAGGGTATATGTGGGATAACTCTGCAGACAGATCAAACACACCTGAGTCAGGACCAGCACCAACAGCTACCTCAGGCCCAACAGAGCCTCTCGCATATATAGAACCAGAATATTTAACCATCTGTTAATTGCCAGTCTGTCTTCATCTAGGCAGAGAACCCTTGGGCAGATGTTTGGATGCAGAGCTCAGACCACCACACTAACTGACCATTGGGACTTCACTAAAAGCATTTGCTTTCCACTCCTACCGGATCCTCCTGACCCCTGCCCTGACCTCTCGGTCCAGTCCAGTGGTGACCACGCTGATGACCCCTGTGATCCGGTTGATGATAAACATTTGGCTGTGAGGCAATGTAGGCTCTTGGCTGAGGATAGTATAAGCGATCTCAGCATTGTAGGTGTTAGGATCATCTGCGTCAGTGGCTAAGGCCTGCATCACAGAGGTTCCTAGAAGCATCAGAGAACAGGAAATTTAAACAGTTACACTTTGGGAACTCTTCAAAACTGCCCAGCCACATCTTCCCATGAGTGATAAAGGAGGTGCCCAGGAGATCTTTGTCACAGGTTCTTCTTCTTCCTCTTCTTTTTTTTTTTTTTTGGTACCTGGGATCAAACTCAGGACCTTGTGCTTGTGAGGCAGGCGGTGGCACCACTGAGCTAAAACTCTGGCAGATTCTTCATTTTCTAGAATTCTCACCAAATTGGCAGGGGAGAAAAAAAGCTAAATTACACCATTAACTGTGTTTAGAGAACTCAATGTTCTCAACACACATTTTAGGTGGGGGTTGGAGGTGAAGATAATTGTCGTGCACAAATAACCTTTAACTAAAACATCTTGTCAAGTCTCTCACACTGAGTGTAAATAGTGTGTAAAATGGGGGGAAAAATCCAGAAATCTGTACAACTGACTTCTCACTCATAGCTTCATTAAAAAGAACAGTCATTAGAAACATTGCCCAGGCTGGGGATTTAGCTCAGTGTGCAGCACCTGACTCACAAGTGCAAGGTCCCAAGTTTGATCCCCCATACGGGGAGGCAGGGGATTGCCTTCAAGGCAGAAGAAAACACTTATAACACGTAACTGACAAAGACTACTATTCAGAACCTCAAGTAGGAGCTGGGCACAGTGGCACCCAGCTATAATCCATAGACATACACAGTAGCTTCCAAAGAAGTTATATGCATATGAAGGCCCAACATAGGTAACCTGAGCTCCAGACTCCAGCCCACTCTGTAGGCCCAAAGAGTCCAAGCATCTTTCCAGGCATCAGCCCCTTATGACCAGACATACCTGGAAGGGCACCTTCCATGACAGATCCCTCGAAGACCTCTTTGATGAACTGAGGCCTGTTGTCATTTTGATCTGTCACTGTGATAACAATCTCCATGGGATCCTCAACTGCGTTTCCATTTGATGACACAGCATGAGATAAGAGCTGCAACAATGAAGTGAAGGTTACTTGGGCCCTGATGAGGAAGAAAAGGTGTGACAGAGGGTCCAGCCAGAGCACAGTGGGCTATCGGACCTCCACTCCTTCCTACTGTGAGACCCCAGTGCTGTGGCTTCAGTGGGACTATGATGAGTTAAGACCTATGGCCTACTCATCAGGTGTAGTGGCACTTGCCTGTAATCCCGGCACTCGGGAGGCTGAGGCAGGAGGATGGCTGTGAGTTCGAGACCAGCCTGGGCTACATAGTGAGCTCCAGATCAGTCTCAACTACATAGTGAGACCCTGTCTCAAAAAACCAAAAAAAAGGCCGGGGATTTAACTCAGTGGTTTGGTAGCCTGCCTCACAAGCAAGCACAAGGACCCGAGTTCGATCCCTGGTACCACCCCCCACAAAGACCCATGGCCTAGAAGACACACCCACCAGGTCAGACATCCCATTTCCCACACAGAAGACTGGAGCATCATGACTAGTGACAAAGATAGAAGCCTTAAAATTTTTTTTGTTGTTTGGTATTTGAGTCAGGGTCTCTCTTTGTAGTGCCGGCTGGTCCTGAACTCACTACACAACCCAGGCTGGCCTTGAACTTGTGGTGATCCTCCTTCCTCAGTCTCCCAAGTGCTAGGATCACAGGTGTGCACCACCGTGCCCAGCTAAAATATTCTTTTTTTTTTTTCCTTTGGTACCTGGGATCAAACTTGGGTCCCTGTGTTTGCAAAACAGGTGCTGGAACCACTGAGCTAAATCCCCAGCCCTAAAATATTATTTTAATCAGGCTTTTTTCCTAATAAGGAAAAAAAATTAGTGCCAAATTTTCCCAAGTTCTCCTGTCATTTCACCTTATCAACAGGACAAGAGATGTCAAGTTAAGCCCCTCAAATGCCCACAGCATGTATTCTGGGAATCCAATGGGTTAGGCAAAAAAAATGTGGACAGATGCTACTCATGGTCAACAAGCTTCTTAAGATACTTACAGTGTAGTTGGCAATTTTTTCTCTATCCAGAGGCTCTGTCACCATCAGCCATCCTGTTTCTCTTTCAATAATAAACACACCAACAGGGGGTGTGTCCGCTCCTTGGCCAGTGATGCTGTAGAAAACCTTACCTTCTTTGTCCCTGTTGGATTTGATCTGAAAATTAAAAAAAAAAAAAAAAAAAAAAAAAAAGAAAGAAACAGAATTAGCAAGGAAGATCCTGATATTGTGTCATTTTCCTTTCTACCTCTCATAGAAAACTTCTTTCTGTACCTGAACCAGTCTTTTAGGAAATGGGCCTTTTTCATTTTCTGAGCAGCTGATGGGAGGGATAACCCAGTCTCTCTTCTGCCTTCTGAGACCACGGTGGAAGTTGGGAAATTTGATTACTTCTAACTGGGTTCCTGGGGAAATGTCCTGAAAAGAAAGAAGATGAGGAACAAATGAGAAAAACTCAAGATAGATACTACAGGTCTAACAGTCCAACTTATGTGGTCAGCATCTCAAACCTTCTAAGGACAGTTACGGTTGGTTTTAACTTAATGGCATGTTTTCTCCACAACACATTGTTTCTACTCTTCAAAATGAACAGCCAAGGCAAAAACCCATGAACCTCTTTGCCAGTACTACAGTTAGGAAGTCGAATGTCCCACAGGGCAGCACTGTCCGGAAGTGCTGGAAACTTTACGGCAGCGGTGGCAAAACTATGGCATGTGTGCCACAGTGGACACGCAGAGCCCTCACTGTTGGAACGTGAACCACATCACCCCAGCAGGCAAGTATTCGGGTTTAATTGCAAAGTTGGAACCTTGCCATAAATAAGTGGGTCTTGGGCTGCAGTTTGGGCACTAAAAGGCTCAGCGTCACTGCGTCAGGGGGTGGGGCTTCCACAGAGGGTGAGGTCTTCAGATACTCAGGGGTGTGCCCTCAGAGTGTGCTGCAGGAGGGCTGGGATTTAGCTCAGTGGTTCCACCACCTGCCTTGAAAGCGCAAGGACCAGAGTTTGATCCCCAGTACAAAAAAAAAAAAAAAAAAAAAAAAAAAAGTGCTGTAGGACCTCTGTCTCTTTTCACTTCCAGGATCACGAGGTAAGCAGTTTGCTCTGCTGCATGTTCCTGCCATGACGCAGTACCCTCACTAGAGGACCAAATTAATAGGGCCACTTGATCTTGGACTAGAACATCCAAAACCATGAGCTAAAATAAAACTTTTCTCTTTATAAATGAATTGCTTCTGAGGCTGGGCATGGTGCTATATGCCTGTAGTCCCAGCATGCAGGGGGCTGAGGCAGGAAGATTGCCACCAAGTTTGAGGCCAGCGTGGGCAACATAGTGAGTTCAAAGCAACCTGAACTACACAGCAAGACCCTGTCTCCCCCCACCCAAAAGTTAATTGCTTCTGGTTTTCTTTTATAATGACAGAAAGCTGACTGAAACAGCTAACAAAATGAAGAATATATTCTCTTTTAATCCTTCTTATTAGTGTTCAGTAAAGGTAATCATGTATTGTGATTTACAAGTTATTTTATAGCAACACTATACTCTGTTGTTTTAAGATTAGAGATTATTCAATAACTAGATCCTAAGATGCTTTCAATTTCTTTTCCTTTATGTTTTTCCTAGGAATATAGTTCCCCAAAAGGGAGTTATCAGCCAAAACAAGTTAAGTTTTAGGAAGTGCTACTGGGAATACTTTGTGATCAATACAAATTTCTTTGTCTCTTATGTCCTATCTAGAAGGCTCCCATTTGTTCTAACAGAGACTGCTGCGTCAGAATAAAAAATATCCTTTGAGACCTGAATCGAGCAGTTTTTAGCATAAAGATAACCTTATACTCACTCTGGGAAATAAGTGCATTAAATAAGGGAGGAAAATATCCTTCAAATTGCTTGAGTGTTTCAGAGTGATTAGCGGTGACACAGTAAAATTCCTTTTGTTTTGGTACCAGGGATTGAACTCGGGTCCTTGCGCTTGCAAGGCAGGCCACCGAACCGCTGAGCTAAATCCCCGGCCCTACACAGTAAAATCTACGGAAAATTTCCATCTCCTTCATACCACATAAGAATACTCATTCTTAGTCACCAATCACTGCTTGCCAAATATCAGTGAAGATGCAAAAGAAAGGTATGAGGTGTGACAGGTATCACCCCAGGAGCCTTTCCTAATCCCCTACACTGGCCATAGGTGTGGCTGGGAGGCTGCTGTTCTAACAGGATAGAAGTAAGAGTACTGCTTAAGAATTCCACAAACATTTCTTAAAAAGCAGACAGATAACTACACAATACATTTCTATGCTTCTTCTCTTTCCCTGTCTTACCACAAAGAATAAAGGGATGACTGGAACTCCAGCAGCCATCTTAGATGATTCACTGTGAAGGTGAAAGCTACCACAGGCTGAGGATAACAGAGCAGAAAGGAAACTTGGAGGCCTGGGATTTAGCTTGGTGGCACCACACCTCACAAGTGCAAGGTCCTTAGTTTGATCCCTGGTACAGGGGTGCGGGGTGGGGAACTTGGGCTCTTGATGGCTATAGAGCACTGATGACAAACTTCTTAGAGACCAAGTGACCAAAAGGCTTGTGATATTATTGCCTGGCACTGCTACTCCCTTCTGAGCACAAGTGTGACCCCTAGGTGCACCGGTACCCAATGCCCAGAGAGGGCTCTGCCTGCCCACTGAGGCACGCATCCCACAGGCTTGCCACCAATGCTGTGCAGTATCCACGCAGGGCACTACTCACCTTCAGACTTCCTCAACTGAAAAGAGAATAGTTTGCAGAAGCCCCTGTAGTCTGGGGTTTTATATAATATATACTTGAACCAAATCCTGATACAGTAGGCATGAAGGCAGAGGCTAAGCTGGCAGAAGAAGTGGGGAGGTGAAGCTAAAGAAGAATCTAGTTCAAAACTGTCTCTTGGTCAGAAGAGATTGCAACAGGCAGCCGGCTTAGCAGGTGCTGAGCTCACATGAACAGGCCAATCGGAGGTGTCAGTCATAGGGTCGCACTAATATAGATCCCCTGAGTGACTCATTTTTCTGATCTTCCTGATCGCCAGGAAGAAATTCAGATGTATCAGGAGGAATATTAAGTTCCAAGAATCTCAACAATGCGGAGGGAGAAAAATAGGAACCCACAGAGAGGTTTGGGCATTTAGGGCACAATGTAAACTATCTGTGTATTTCCAAGAAAGAAGGGTACAACTAGAAATACCCACCACCATACCACACCCCACCCCACCCCACCCTGAGACATTTTGGTGGGAAGCACTGTGTGGGAAGCCCAGTGTGGAAACTTGTAAAGGCATCTGGCTTTTGGTAACAACCTCTGGAAAAATTCTTGCCAAAAATCCAAGCAGACATATGTCCTTCCATTCATGGGCAATCCCGGCCTCAAAAGCCACCCCTTTGAATACATGAGAATATGAGGGAAACTTCTAAAACTAAGGGCCAGGGATATTTTTTTTTCTTTTTTTTGGTATCGGGGATGAAGTTCAGGACCTCATACTTGCCAGGGAGGTGCTATGCCACTGAGCTAATCCCTGGCCCTCCCTAAACAATATAGTATAATCAGGATTTGCATAGCATTTACATTGTATTAGCGGTTTTCAGTAATTTAGTGGATGGAACCCAGGACCTCAGGAATGCTAGGCAAACACCCTACCACTGAGCTATGTTCTCATCCTTCTAGAGAGATGATTTAAGAACACAGCAAGATATGTGTAGGCTAAATGCAATTCCTATGTCATTTTGAATAAGAGATGAAAGCATCTAGATCTTGGTTTCTTTTCTTTTTTTAAATGGCGTCTCACCATGCAGTTCAGGCTGTCCTTGAACTCACTATGTAGCTCAGGGTGGCCTCAAACATGAGGTGGCCCTCCTGCCTCAGCTTCCCAAAGTGCTGGGATTGTAGGCATGAGACACTATGCCCAGCGCAGATTTTACTATCAACAAAAGGTGAAGGAGTGTTCTGGAACTGGTCTGCTGTGGGTACCAAGCGTATTTACCTAACATATTCTCAGCACTTCACAGGCATTAATTTATTCAGTCCTTGCTATTATCTCCATTTTACAGAAAAGGAAATTCAAGCCTAGATCGGTAAAGTAACCCCAAGGTTACTCAGGTGGTCAAGAGGAGGCCAATTCAATCCCACACGGCATCCATGCTTTTTCCCACTGCGCTATACTACCTGTTCCCTCCGCTCAACAACCACCCCCAAACCCAACAAGAGACAACTCCATTAGACCAACAGTCTTCTATTAGAGATGATTCTGCAACTCACCCAAGCAGCACTGCCAGTCTGGAGGTATTTCTGGTTGTCACAACTGCTAGCACTGTTCCTGGTGTCTATTGAATTAAGGCTAGGGATGCTGCTCGATTGCCTATAAACAGTGCATGGCACGGCCTCCACACAAAACCATCCAGCCCCAAACACTAACATTGCCATGGCAGAGCAACCTGGGTTAGCTACATCCTAAAACAACAGTGAACGTCTGAGAAATACCCTGACATACCTGGTCAGGGTCCTGGTGGTGGTGGTTGTTCCGGCGCTGGTGGTGCTTGTGGTGTTGATGACAGGATCCCTCTGCCTTCAGCATAACTTTGGTGGAAAACTTTCTGAAGGTGGAGTCCCAGGCTTGGACAGAGAAAGTGGTCTCTGTTTTATGAATCTGTAGAGGCCGTTTGACTGTGACTACACCATCTGTACCTACTCTGAATCGGGAGTCGGTAGAAAAGTAGGCAGTTTTTGGTCGATCTGTGCATCCTTCAAAACTCACTGCAGGGCAGAAAGGACGATGATTAGAAAATGGAGCAGATTCAAGATGAGATCATTCTTCTCCAAAAAGCAAACTTAATTCACTCACAGAAGCCCAACGCATGCAAAACAAGCACAAGCAAAACAAACCATAATTTGGTGACAGAACAAAGCTATCCATAGAACCACTATTATTTAAATCTTTTTCCTCATGTAGTTTTCAGTGAAAATTATGTCTAGAAAGTAAATTTTCCTTAGCAGAACAACAAAAAAGGGACCCCTGCTTCAGAGAGACCTTCCCAATTTGAAAACAGAATATGAAATAATTGAGACAGGATACAGATACCAAAGTCTACCCCATGGCGGGATTTCTTAATCAATTGATCAATTAATAAAAAAGATAAAAATATAACAAAGTGCCATCCAGGCAGAGGGAATAGTCGACATGATAGTTCATTCTAGGAAAACTCAGAAGTTAGCCTGTTTTCTTTCCTTTAAGATAAATGCCACTCATCCACCCAATAGAATTTCTATTGCTTCCAAGTGCTTTGTTTATTTGTTTGGTACTGGGAATAGAACTCAGGACCTTGAGCTTGCCAGGCAGGTGCAGCGCCACTGAGCTGAACCCTTAGCCAGGTTTGAAGTGTTATTTTATAAAAATTCCTACTATTACCCTTATTTTACAAGGCTAGACACCTCTGCACTAATTAGGAGGATCAGGTTTCTGCCAAAAAAACCCCTAAGCTAGCCACAACTCCAGAACTGCAGTTTTCATTCCTTCCACCAGGGGCCACCCTTACAAACATCTGAAACCAAAATTCCTGCATAATACAGTTACTTGGCTTAGAGAAGAAGTAAAACCATAGGTGAGTACCATGATTATTACCATCTTGAAAATGAAATTGAGGATCAGAAAGGTTAAGACTTTACCTGACATCCCATAACTAATAAACAGCAGATCTGTGACTGGTCCTTGACGGAAACCAGAATATCACCCCCCAAAATATGCCTCTTTGATTAAATATCTGTAAGCCAAAGGTGCTTGAGAACCAGCAGCTGCAGAAAGCTCTATCTCAACTGTGCTTTCTTGGGCCAGGGATTTAACTCAGTGGTTCTGCTGCCTGCCTCGCAAGGGCAAAGTCCCGAGTTCTTTTCTATTGCCAGCCATAAACTTGCCTTGGAGAAAGCAGACAACCTTATACGAGCACAAAAAGACAGCCACTGTCACAGTTGAGTGGGAGTTGATGCTGCATGGACCTGTATAAACTTGTTAAAATAACCCTCGTCCTCCACCAGCTATCTCCTAGTGACTCCCTTGGAATTAACTGCCCCTAGCCCAGGCCCCTCTATCTTATTTCTTCACAAAACTTACTGCTGTCTAGAAGTATAGAAGGTTTCTGCTTTGGAAATTTCTTCAGGTCTCCCTTCACTCTCCAGAGGGTATCCACTTACATGCACAAATTAATGCTTTCCTCATATTAATCTCTTGTGTTAAGATCCCAATTAAGAACCAAGATTTGGGCCTGGAGATTTAGCTCAGTGTTTCTGCCACCTGCCTCACAAGTGCAAAGTTCCATATTCGATCCCTGGTACCAAAGAGAAAAAGAACTGAGATTCGGACTAGGGATGTGGATAGCGGTAGAGTGCTTGTCTGACATGCCCTACCTAAGTTCCATCTCCAGCACCACATGGACAAAATCGAAAGTTAGCATACTAAGTAGCACTTCAGAGGCAGAGGAAGGAGGATTGTCATTTCCAGGCCAGCCTGAGCTACACAGAGAGATTCTATCTTAGAAAGAGAGAACTAAGGGCCCAGGGGTTTGGCTCAGTGGTTCCTCTGCCTGCCTCACAAGTGCAAGGGCCGAGTTCAATCCCTGATACAAAAGAAAGAAAGAATTAAGATGAGGGGAAGTGATCTATAGATTCCCTTAACACGAGAGTACAGTCACATTGTTGGTTCTACTCTATCTGGAGAGACCCTGTTTATTAAACCCTGCCCTCCCTCCTCCCCCTCCTTCCATTCCCATTCTAGGGATGGAACGCAGGCCTCCTCCCCCATGTGCTCGGCAAGCACACTATCACCGAGCTACGCCCCAGTCCCAACCCTAGGCTATTTGTTTTTAGTTTGGTATGTTTATTTTAAAGACAGGGTCTCCCTGTGTAGTCCAGGCTGACCTCAACTACCTGACGAACCGAACTTTCTATGATCCTCCTCCCTCATCTATCCCACTACTGCCTCAGCTTCCCCAGTGCTGGGATTACAGGCGTGTGCCCAGTGACCCTGGACAAGCTTTAAAAGAGGATTCTTAGGCCAGGGGTTTAGCTCAGCGGTTCCATGCCTGCCTTGCAAGCACAAGGACTGGAGTTCGATCCCCGGTACCTCCCCCCCACAAAAAAAAACAATTGTGAAAGAGGCCAGCCTGAGCATGGCAGAATTCTGAGGCCACTCTATGAAACAGCTGAGAGTCTGCTATCTGGCAAATAAACTGAGGGACATACTAAGAGCTAATTCACAGGAAGGGGACCAGTATTTCACATAATCTAGTCAGACTCTCCCCACTCAGCATGTAACAAGCACCACCTCTTGTCCCCACCCTACCCTATCCCTTTGAACTAGGTCTCTAGCTCCTTCCCAAACTTGAAGAAATAGGAATAGGGAGAGCAGAGGGCAGCTATAGTAAATGATGGGAAAAAAGAGATTAAAAGGGTAGTGGTGGCTAGCTTCAGAGTCTTCCACTGGATTATAATCCCAGACTCTGGTATCTTTTTGCTGGGTGTCCTTAAGCAAATGGCTTAACTTCTCTATGTGTCCCAGTTTGCTCTACTGTAACATGAATTAAACCACTACTGGTGAGCCTGTGTCTGTCTCTTCTTCAGGGTTTGGTGACGATCAACCAACACAGTGAAAGTGATCATGTTTTCTAAATTCAGAGCAATGTAAGTGCAGGAGATGATTGTTACTTCCATGCTTTTTGGTAGACTAGGTAGACAAGGATTTGCTAAGTGCACAGACGGGCCATAAAGTGACAACAGAAACAAGAGAAGAAGCCGGGTGTGGTGGCGCATGCCTGTAATCCCAGCACTTAGGAGGCTGAGGCAGAAGGATCGCTGAGACCAGCCTGAGCTACATAGTGAGTTCCAGCAGTCTCAAA